CATCCGATTCTTGTTGTATTTTAGATCGCTGTTTAAGGCGCAATCTCGAGAAGAAACCCTGAATCTGTATGTTGGATAACCACTCTGTTCTATCGAACATTCTCTCTCCATCTATTGTGCAAGCAGTTCGCATATCCTTTGCTACTTTCTCTGGGTTTGGTTTCTGCCAGTGTCTCATCCGATATTAAATTTCTGTTTCAAGTACTGCCTGACGTTTTGCGAAAGCCGTTCACTTTAACCTCTCTTATGAAGAACCCATCCCAATCTTTGATGTACTTTTCAAGGGTTCTGTGGCCACTGCAACCAGTTCAGTCGAACTTTCACCCTCTAATGACAATGACGGAAAGTAATGAACCCACTATCTCTTCACTTTGTCATTAAGACTTTAAGTCATGCTCGCAGGGACAGGACTTACATAATGAACTAGCTAGTTCATATGGAAGTCAAAGTCGGCCTGGGTCTTAAAATCGTCATCGAACTACTGATGCAGTTCGTCGAGCAGTAGTGGGGAAAAATGGAATCTCCTCCACCAGATCCGTCATTTTTTCTTTGGAAAAATTGCAATTTTAATTTTACCGAATAAACTTTCCAGGCCCAACATTAAACGCTCTCCAAACGCGCAGGCCCTCTTGTGTAAGTTGCTGAAAGTGGCAATCTTGATGTCCGAGCCCTCGTAGAGATGATACTAGCCTACTGTTGTGATAGTAACCTGCTTCATCCGATCTTATAAAGGCCTTTTTCATTCCTGAATTTCGTAACTTTATGGTGACAAAGAGATTTTCTAGGACTGACAGCACTGAAAACCAGTCTTTTTTACAGCTGTTAAGAAGGTGTACGTATTAGGTTACTTCCAGGCTTTCCTCCTGTCTTACAACAACGCTACTCACATGCCAATTGATTTCCCTCTTGGGAAACCATTCTGCTTGCTTTTCCCGGAACTTCATCGCTATGAACTTCATTGTCCACTCAACTATTATAGATGCTTCATCTCCCTCCAAAGTATCGACAATTTGCCGCTCGTACTGATCCTGGTTTCTGCTCTCAGGATATGCCCTCTCCATTCAAAGATCTTAGCGGCAGCATTTTTTGCTTCATACAGATAGTCTTCCGCTTGAAAACTACCCAATTGCATTGTGTACTCAGAAATAGCGCCTTTTACTTCTTCAAGAACACTCTTCAGCATCTCACAATCCTCACACTTCACGTTGTGACTGTGACTGCATACTTTCTGAACGTCAGTGTCACCAGCATGGCTCAGTGCAAAGACCCTACAGTGATCGGCACATTTGCTATCGTCCTCTTCGCATTGATTACGGTATGTAGTCTTCAAATACAACTTGCTCTCCTGAAGCTTCTTCCGAACTTCTTTACACTAGTCCTTTTCTGCTCCCACGCTTTCCAATTCGTCTATAATTTGGAGAAAATCCTTGAAACCATCCGCTCCATCAGCTGCAGTATCGTGTAAACCTCTATAGAACGCCATACATCTTAGAAATGGCCTTTGACATTTGCAAATTGACAGAATACCGGCTCTTTAGCCCTTTGGAATCGCTACCAGGGTGTGTCGGATACTGGCACGCTGACCTTTGACGCCAGAACTTCCCATAAGTGTGCCTATGTTTTGCGCAGACCCACATTTTGCCATAACTGAGTCTTCTACATCGAACAGGCCAGCCCTTGCAAAGATAAGCTCTCCTTCTGTGAATCTCTCTTTTGACAAAAGGATTAAGCAGAGATGACTCTTTATTGAGTCAGTACTCTGAGGCAAGTTAAACAAACCGGAAACTCCTCGTGAGTCTCCGAACGAAGTTTCTGAGGAACGCGACTGAAAACAGGACTTCTTTTGGCGAATACCCCCTTAAGAATTTAGTTTTATTAATCCCAAGCAAACCAGTACCGAAAGAGACATATGAATTACAGCTAATACAATTACGCACTTTACAGTATAGATATAGCTAATTGTTGGAAAAACGAGGTCACACGTAACGTAATAATTTATTTCCTCAAAAATCGCGGGGCCCTTTTCCACAAGAACTCCCTAGAGTTCTGAATAGAAACTTTCATAACGACAGGTGTGCAGACAAAATTTCTCTTATTCCTGCCGACCAGAATTCGGATCCAAAAGGCGATGTTATCGCTGCTTTATTAAGAAGGGAGAAGCAATTGAGGATAATTACAGAATTGAATTATGTGACAGTGGTCACGGTGTATTTCAGTGTGTGCTGTTATCGCCGGTTACACTAAATAGAATCCTGTAGTTTGGTTTTGAAATGTTCATTCAGGTTTGAATAGCGTAAGCCATCAGAACTCAAATATGAAATAACAGAAGCCAAATTTTTAAAAAAGAGTTTGCGAGCGCTAATCAAATTATGATATTCGATACGTTGTTGTTGACGTCTTTCGTCACGAGATAATAAAATTTGTCAAATCTTGGCCTTTTAAAATGCTTAAAGTATTAATCGGTGTGGTTTTAAAGCTCTGTCCTACTATATTTTCTACTTAAAATGGTTAAAATCTAAGATTTATTGAGCTACTCACATAAAACGGTCGGAGTTTGCTCAATGAACTAATTTGCATAACCGGCTGTCACGCTTGCAATATCGCTAAAAGTTCGAAGTCACCTCGGCGAAGAAAATCAATAAGTGCAAGATGTTTTTATATTTTTCTGCAGCCAAACATCTTAATGGCAGAAATCAAGCGGAGTTTTTAATGGTCTGGTCTGGACTTGAGCAATATCAATCGAGAAAGAAAGAGTACTTTTAACCAATTCTATAAAGCTGTCCAACGAGTGTTTTTAAATAAATTGCGACGAGCCTCTGAATAAACGAATATCAAAATTGAAATGCATTTTATACACCTTGTATATCACACACTTTAAGAACACAAAATATTTTTTGTTGAATGCGGTGTGATACGAGGACCGGGCTATTCAACTTTTGAAATTTTCGATGTCGCAAGAGGTCAAAAAAGGGCCTTTTGCTGCTTTGAGTTTTGAGAGCTCTAAAAATTTTATGTTGAAACTAATGTGGTTTTATTTACTTGTATATTTTATTTACCAAAGATAGTTTATTGGGCAAAGTTTGAGGGAAAACTTTTTTCCGATGCGAATTGCCCTGGACCACTCTTACAGAGATCGCCTCCTAAAAGACATTCCTTGGATTCGCCCCTTTTCGAGCTCTTTCTTGAACCAATCGCGCTTTTTAATCGCTGTGAGAATTTCTTTCGAAAGCCACGATGTTTTCTTCATAGATTTAACTCTGACTGATTTAAATTAAGCATATCGATCTACCATATGGAGCACAAGGGTTCCCCAAGTTGATAACATTTCGTCTGGGTCGTTGTCAAAGGTGTCAAGGACGGTCCAAGGTACTTCATTTAAATCTTTAATGAGGCTGCTAACATTCAGATTATTTAAAGGGCGGTATGTGACAGTAAAATGAGCTTTCTTGGTAGATTTCAAATTTGCATTTTGTTTGCGAACCAAAATAGTAGGGTTGTGATCGCTGAGCCCAAAAGCTGGTGATGTTATACTTAAGACGTGCTCAAGATAAGAGCAGTAATGGTGATCAATAAGAGTACTAGGGTTTTCATTTGCTGAAAACCTTAATATACCATTAAATGAAGTGTTTGCTTTGATTCGCTTGTGGAGTTGACTATGACTATGATCTTGAATTTAAGAATCAGAGAAAAACATTAAATTTACATTTACATATACTGGGTCGGTAAAATCGTTAAGATACCACATTAACCGCATACCTTGAAACCGATCTTTTCGTGAACGTGCCGTTCTTTACATTGAAAAACGGCAGCTCACGAAGGAACGTTGTTAAGCAATGCTACTCAGTAATGACAAACTTATACGTATATTTCATTTTCATTATCTCTGCAGAGCCCTTCATCCTATTGGCCGTGCCGTCAAAACAATGAAATGCTAAGTGTACCTAATCTATAGTTTTTTTCTTTAATACGCTAATAACATCTCTCAAACATTTGACTGAACAATTGAAATAAACATGAAAGAAAAAACAAACAAACAAACAAACAAACGGACGACTTCAAGGGAGAAACTTTTTTCGTTCTTTTTTATTTTTTTTTTCCGAATAATGATTTCCTCTAGGTTTTTATTGTTTGCTTAGTGCGTAATAAAGTCAAACTCTGCAAGAGGGTCTCAATTGAGTCAAACTCTACAAGAGGGTCTCTATTTGATCAAACTCTGTAAGAGGGTCTCAATTGGGTCAAACTCTTTAAGGGGGTCTCAATTGGGTCAAACTCTGTGAGGGGGTTTCAATTGGGTCAAACTCTGTAAGAGGGTCTCAATTGGGTCAAACTTTGTAAGGGGGTCTCAACTGGGTTAACCGTTAGCCGTAAAATGGCAAAAAACGTTCAACAGTTAGGCACAAAAATTGGTGTTTTTGGAATTTTAACCATCTTACAGAAAAAGGTACTCGCTGTAAAATGCATGTTTTCATCGTCACGGAAATAAAAAGGAATCACCGAATTCGCAAGGAATGGGGGAGCTGAGGGAAATTTCACGCCCGTGTCGAGGAGGTATGGTTTTTGAGCCTATCAATTTCCCGTTATAGGTCTCGAGAAAGTTACGCGGGCGCAAAAAGCTGACTTTCAAGTTTGAAAACGAGCATAAAAAATGACATGGTTTGGTTAAGATATGGGGAATTTTAATTTTAGAGAAACAAACGCCACAAGAAATTCTCGGAAGTATCCCCTTCTACTTTCCGATTATATGTGCAAGGGTTAAGGCACACTCTTTTCCAATTGCCTTAACGTTCAGCTAGCTTATTAAATAGTTCCCAATGAGAAAAGAAAAACAAACAAAAACAACAACAGTAACAAAGAAAAAAGGAAAAACCAAAATATTGCCCTTTTCCTTGAACGAGTGCGGAATCCGAGAGTCTGGGGATCGGTTCCTCGGAGGGACTCGGAACTTTTTTTCTTTATCTCAAACCAAAAAAAAAAATTAAAAAAAACATTTTGAAGATCTTTTAATTTTCAAATGAATATGATTGAAGGAATGAATGATTTTCAATCAACATCTGAACTCTGTTTAATTGTATTTCATTCCACTTAACGAACTGACGAGTGTGAGAGGGAACAGGGTTTACAATTGAAGAGCAGTCCTCTAAGTATTTCTTGGTGCACGTGATTTCCAAGAAGTCACAAATTTTCATGAGGGTTTCACGCGGGTTTTTCATCAAATCCATACTGTGCACGTCGAGTACACGACCTGGAAAATTCTTCTTGACTTGCGAAGTTCCCTCCACCTGGGTACTGTATTCCGCTATGGAATCATCAAGCTCCTTGTGACAATCGCACTGCAATTAGCCAATAAACATAGACATGAGAGCACGTTATCAAGAAAATCATAACAAAAAAATGTATCAGCATAAACAAACAAACAAACAAAGGAAAAATTCATCATAAAAAGAAAAAAAAAAGCTAAATAAAACAGACAAACAAAAAAGTAAAATAATGACAGGGTGACTGCTACGGGGAGTATGAATGACAAGTTACTTCAATAAACCCTCTTTTAAAATGGTTGGCTTTACTATTACTCTTTTATGTGCATAAAAATTTACCTTCTCGGTAAACGACAGGCAAGTCAAGGCATTTCTTAACCTCGATGGCGAATTAAGACGCTCAAAACCCAGGGTAAGACTTTTTGTCTTCAGCAGGTCGACGTTATTCCCCCCCCCCCTACCCACCAAGTTTTAGTCTCTCCCCTCCCCCCCACCCCATCGCAAAATAACTATAATACCATAGCGTATTGTAAGGTAGATTTAAATGTCTCCGACCACCCACCAACCTCAAGGTTGTCTTGGATTTTGTTTTTCTTGACTTTCGCCTTGCGAAGCGCTAAAGTTGCAATATTATCGAAAGGATTACGCACAACATGAATGAATTTAAGCTCTGTGCCAAGTTTACGCTCTAAATCTCGGAGATGCTCTCTTCCTTCACTTTGGAGTAAAATTGTCGAAGCCTGAGCTGCTTTCTTATCTCCAATCACCTGCGAGAAAAGCACTGGATGTTAAACAATCATTGGATAAGGTTAAATTATCAAACGGAGGTCTGAGATAACACAGGGACGAGGTACGATAATTTATGATACCATGCAAAATCCAAATTAAAGAATTGTTTTATCATTCATATATTTTCTTGTAAAAGGGGGCCATTTCTCTCTCACTTTGGAAAAGTTTGACTCACAAGCGGCTCGGAAACCAGGCAGACTTTGAACTAATAACTGCAATATCCGCTGCAGATATTGGGTCATCATGCATGTCAACTTTCCACGTACATTGATTGAGTGCTGATTGAATGCCATTCAGATTTTTCATAATCAGTCTAATTTGTATTGATACAAAGTAGATTGATTATGATAACCAGATGGTCGTAATTTTCCGTGTTTCGTTTGGCCGGTAGACCATCGTCATGTCTGCGGAAAAAAGAAATCTACGCTTTCCTGCAGTATAAACAGACAATTTTAACCTCTTTCCTATCAAATCTGTTGGTCTCTGTGCATAAACCACAAACTAACCGTTTTCTATGACATATTAAAGCGCCATGCTGCCATGCCTTGAGTTGGTTTATATTAACTTTTGATAGCAGGACGAGTTTTACCGACTCTGTAAAAAGCGTAAATCAAGTGGTCTATGCCTCTTGTTAGATAGTTGCGAAAGATGGAGTGCTTGCAACTTGGATAACAACGTCGTATTCTGGCGATTAATTTATCAACAAACCACTAGTTGGTTTGACGCTACAATTTTCTTGAAGCAGAAAAAATGCCAACTTTCCTTCTCGGCGAGTAGTTTGGTAATTTCTGAAGGTCTGTTTATTTTTTCGCGCAGCGAAAAATTAAGGCTTAAAAGGGACCAATCAGTTAATTGAACTGGATTTTAAAAAGAGATAGGAAAAGTTTGAAATGTGAAATGTTTGCTTAAGTGGAGAAGCTGTTAAGCAATCAATGATCGGCGCCCAAAGTAAGAACAAAGAACTTACGAGTACACTCAGACAGCTTGATACAGACACCTTTTTCCAACGGTAACGACCAAAAGTTGTATGCTTAATACTTAACTTTTTTTTTTTAAGGCTGGAGAATACTTTGATGACTCAGTTTAAAAGAAAAACATACCTTTGTCAATTTAGATGTAAATTTTAGTTAATTTAAGTTTCAACAGAGCTATTACACTTCATTTATCAACTATTGGATTATACACATTGAATGTTTGTCCGGTGAAAAGTTTGTTCAAGATAAGAAACTGCCGAGTAATAGATGATAAGCAGACTAAATCACAGACTGACTGGGCTTCTTTTTTTGAACGATTTGTTTCGATTTGGGTACCAATCTCTAAGAACTTACGAGTATGTGCACACAGCTTGATACAAAACCTTTTGTATTAGCAAAGACAAACAGTTATTTCCATAAAAATACTAAGTTGGCATTTTTTCTACAGGATGGATAGTACCTTGGTGATTTAGTTCATATAAATGTTGAGTCGTGAATAAGCTGCCTGTTTCTCTTAAACCCTAAAAAAATTCACTAAATATGAAAAAAAAAAAGCCAACAAAAAAAATTAAAAAAACACAAAACACCGGTTTAGTACCAGAAAGGCGTTAAAAGACCTAGACCAATATAAATTGAAACAAAATCATTTAGGTAGACGGATCCTGGAGTCTTATCCAAAATCAACATACATGTATCAAGGCAAGACGATAAGCTCCTGTGGTGAACTGCACAAAACTTATTTAACTTTGTAAATTCGCAAAATCTTCAGTTCACGAGTGATGAACAATTATATATTTGTTTAAGCAAATATTTGTTATAAGTTAGTGGCCAAACAGTTTTTGAAAACGGTTTTTGAAAACCGCAAATAAATGATCTGCAAGACAGTGACTATAATAAAGATGTGGTCAGAAGACACTCTCCATCTATCTTGTCTTTCGTTGATGGGAATTGGCTTTGGTAATGGCATTTTTTTTACGTCGCTTTTGATAATCAAAGTTGTCACAATTCACATATACAGAACACCGTTGGGAGCCAAACTCAGGTAAACCGTATCGCGCATGAACAGGCTATAACATGTAAACAGTTATTTGCTGGTCACCCACTGAGCTCTAGACCAATGAAAATTTTCTTGAAGCAAAAATTTGCCAACATTTAGTTGTTTGGGAAATTCTAGTCGAGAATTTCTGACGGTCTGTCTCCTTTTCAGTTTTCTATAGATTTACAAGTAAATATCCAGTGATTTTTGACCAATTAGAGCGCACGTTGTGTCCAAGTTATGTCTTAAAGGTAAATGAAAACTATACCTGTACACCCTCACCGATCTGTCCTTGCCACTGACCCTCCACGTTGTAATGATACTGTACTGGGCCCCCGTTTACCAACCGAGAGCGAACGCCGTACATCACATCATAACGTGATTTGGCGTAAATCAGCTCATAGATAAAATGCTTTTTCCTGTCAAATATTTCAGGCATGGTAATCCACTGCTTTAAGATGTTAAAGTCGTTCGCAACAACGACATGTGGATGAGCATCTAACAAAGCAGCAAGTAAGGTGTGCCTGCTTCTGTCGTAGCCAATGAACAACAAAAAAATCCTGACGTTGTCGTAAATTCTGGCATCAAGTGTTGATGGATTTGAACGGTGTAGCTCTTAACAAAAAAAGTGGTTAATCATAATAATGAGACTAATAGCAAAATTAATAAAAAATTGCTCTGAAAAGTTACCATGTACTGTCAAAATCTATATTTAGAGAAATCAACGAGAAAGTCTCTGAAAGTCTAAGATGTGTTTTTATCAGCTGGTCACGGGCCTTTCTTTCAAAAAGGAAGGCTACTTTGGTGCTTTTTTAGCTTTGTTAATATGCCTATTAGAATGTAGTTGCCTTCTCGATACAATGTTGCTATTAACATGAAATATGTTACTTGTTGTGAAGAAAAGAAAGGCAAGAGAGGAAGAAATGTTTTTAACATTAATTTGATATGAGAACTTCGAGGAAATGAAAGTCAAATAAGGAAGGGTTCATCAATACAATTACCGTCGTATCCATCAAAACGGGTCATCGTGTTCCAAAGAAATGCATAGATGGCAATACCAATGATTAAAATTGCGACTTTTAAAACTCGGTGAGACATTCGGATTTTGTATCCTAAAAGTGAAAAAGTAAAGCGTGCACACACTATTAGCAACTCTCAAGATGATTTGAAAAGTTCCTCTTTGTTTTTCATATATAGGCATTAATGCGGGAAACACTGGCCGACCGCATTTAAATCTATTTGATTGACTTGTAATTTAAGTCAAAAATAATTTTGTCTTTGCCCGGCAATTTGATGAAAATATTGTGTTATAGCGGCGTTTAAAGGACGATGATCTTGACTTTGAGAATTAGAGAAAAACATGACATACCTTGAAAGCGGTTTTCTCGTTTTTTAGATTAAAAAACGGCAGCTCACAACGGAACGTTGTTGGGCAATGCTATTTAATCATGACCTACTTATACGAATGTTCCATTTTCATTACCTCTGCAGAGACCTTCATCCTGCTGGCTGTGTCGTCAAAACAATGAAAATGCCACGTGTACCTAATTTATATTCGTTTTTCTTTAATATGTTAATACTATTCAGGCTTTGTCAAAATTTATACCGAGAGAAATCAAGGGAAAATGTAGCTCTGACTGAAAGTCTCAGATGTGTTTTTATCAGCTGGTCACAGGTCTTCCTTTCCAAAAGGAAGGCTGCTTTAGTGCTATTTTAGTTTCGTTAATATGCTTATTATAATGTAGTTGCCTTCTCGATAAAATATTGCTATTAACATGAAATATGTCACTTGTTGTGAAGAAACGAAAGGCAAGAGAGGAAGAAATGTTTTTAACATAATTTGATATGAGAACTTCGAGGAAATGAAAGTCAAATAAGGAGAAGTTCATCGATTCAATTACCGTCGTATCCATCAAAACGGGTCATCGTGTTCCAAAGAAGTGCATAGATGGCAATACCAATGATTAAAATTGCGACTTTCAAAAATTGGTGAGCCATTCCGGATTTTGTATCCTAAAGTGAAAAAGTAAGACGTGCACACACCATAAGCAACTCTCAAGATGATTTGAAAAGTTCCTCTTTGTTATTCATAGATAGGCATCAATGCGGGAAACTCATGCCGACCGCGTTCAAATCTATTTGATTGACTCGTAATTTAAATCAAAAATAGCTTTGTCTTTGCTTGGCAATTAATGATATTGTGCTATAGCGGAGTTTAAAGTCCTATGATCTTAAATCTAAGAAAAAGAGGAAAAAAATTACATACCTTGAAACCGGTTTTCACGTGAACGTGCCGTTTAAAACAAAAAACAAAAAAACGGCAGCTTACAACGGAACTTTTTTAGGCAATGAAAAAAACAATGAAAATGCTACGTGTACTTAATTTAAAATTTGTTTCCTTTAATATGTTAATACTATCTCTTAAACATTTGACAACTTTAAGATTAAATGGTAGCCCTACGGTAGGTGCGATGGATAAAGGAATATTTGTCAAGTTTAAAGAAAAACTACGCTACGCATTTTTTTCAATAGCGACGAATACCCTAGCAGCCAGTATATATTACCATAAATAGATCACCTAGCTTATTAAATAGTTCCCAATGAGAAAAGAAAAACAAACAAAAACAACAACAGTAACAAAGAAAAAAGGAAAAACCTAAATATTGCCCTTTTCCTTGAACGAGTGCGGAATCCGAGAGTCTGGGGATCGGTTCCTCGGAGGGACTCGGTACTTTTTTTCTTTATCTCAAAACCAAAAATAAATATAAAATATAAATAAACATCCAAGTGAATGAAGATTTTAGATATATGAAAATTCACATATATGTACATATATGTGAATTTTCATATATCTAAAATCTTCATTCACTTGGATGTTTATTTGGACCCAATTCATTGTCCAGCTCCCAGTTGGCTTGTTAGCTCAATTGGTAGAGCGCTGCACCGGTATCGCAGATGTCATGGGTTCAAATCCTGTACGGGCCTGAAATTTTTTTTTTTTCTACTTACAACTACTCGTTTCAGTAGTGTTCTTAGCTGCGAGGATCTCCTAATTTCATCTTTCCACCGCAGTGCAAATATGTGAAATTTCATATATCTAAAATCTTTTTTCGTTCTTTTTTATTTTTTTTTTCGAATAATGATTTCCTCTCGGTTTTTATTGTTTGCTCAGTACGCAAGAAACTAAAACTCTGCAAGAGGGTTTCAATTGGGTCAAACTCTGTAAGAGGGTATCAATTTGGTCAAACTCTGTAAGAGGGTCTCAATTGGGTCAAACTCTGTAAAAGGGTCTCAATTTGGTGAAAGTCTGTATGAGGGTCTTAATTGGGTTAAGCGTCAGCCGTAAAATGGCAAAAAACGTCTAGCAGTTTGGCGTAAAAATTGATGTTTTTGGAATTGTAACCATTTGATGTAAAAAATTCTCGCTGTAAAATATATGTTTTCATCGTTACGGAAATAAAAAGTCATCACTACACTGAGACATTCCCGCAAGGAATGGGGGAGCTGGGGGACATTCTCGCCCGTGTCGAGGAGGTATTGGTTTTGAGCCCATCGATTCCCCCTATAGGTCTCGAGAAAGTTACACGGGCGCAGAAAGCTGAATTTCAAGTTTGAAAACGGGCATGGAAAATTACATGGTTTGGTTAAGATATAGGGTGTTTTAATTTTGGAGAAACAAACGCAACAAAAATTCTCGGAAGTAATTCCTTTCCGGTTAAGGTGCACTCTTTTCCAATAGCCCTAACGTTCACGTAGCTTATCAACAAGTTCCCAATGATAAAAGAAAAACAAACAACAACAACAATAAAGTGGAATCCGAGTGTGGAATCCGAAAGTCTGAGATCGGTTCTTCGTAGGGACTCGGGACTTTTTTTCTTTATCCCACGCTCGAGACAAGATGAAAAATAAACGAACCTTCTCACTACTGAACTACAGCTCTTTAGCTCAGTTACCAGAGGATCCCTGCAACCGCAAAATTATGTTTGACGCTCAGCGCTCTTACTGAGGACAAACAAGCTTTCATTTCCAACATTTGAGATTACGGTTCAGTATCCTCCTCATAACACAGCTTTACTGCAACGAGAAATTCCTTCACTGTTATTTTATTACTTGAACCAGCTTTACAGGCAGAAAACAATTTAATCTAATTTGTTAAACTTCAGTTCTAAGATTTATATGAGAACATGCTGTTGCGTAAATTACTTTATAACTAGTCACCACATGTGTGACATGTTTATTTTGGTTCATTTTCCATTCTTCCATTCTTTCTTGCGTGATAAACAGTTGTTGATACAAAAGAAGTTTCTATTTTCGAAGTTCCAACGCTGTGTTGCTTTTTTTTTTCCTTATTTTTCTCTTTATTTCCTATCAAGTCTTTTAAGGATGGTAGTTTCGTAACCTAAATGAACATATATTAAAGTTCACACGGCAACCAGGTGGACAATCAGACATGGTTTATTTTGATGCTACTCTGGTGATACAGTACCCAGGTGGAGGGTACTTTTGATGCTACTCTGAAAATTCAGCTTTATCAGAGCACACATGCCTAACTAACCATACAATTGGGTGGGATAATTCTAAAATTATCACCACTAATCGGCGTTACCACCAGCGCCTTTGTTTGGAGGCTTGGCATATTAACTCCGCCCACGCTCCTTTAAATCGCGACGATGGCGGTTTGCTTCCTGACGCCTATTTACACCTCGTCAGAAAAAAGGCCGCTAATTAGTGATAATATAAAAGGACCTCTTGTTGCAGCGTTTGGATCACCCCTGATGAAGGCACTAGACAGGAGTGTCGAAACGTTGGGCCTATGAATTGTAACTTCTTCGGTTACATTCATTAAATATGCAAACCAGAGTAGCATCAAACTATGTCTAAATGAACTTGTTTTTTTTTGCACCAAAAAAATGGAAACATTTTGAAGATCTTTTAATTTTCAAATGAATATGATTGAAGAAATGAATGATTTTTAATCAACATCTGAACTCTTTTTAGTTGTTTTTCAGTCCACTTAACGAACTGGCGAGTTTTAGAGGGGACGGGGCTCACAATTGAAACACAGTCCTCTAAGTATTTCTCGGTGCACGTGATTTCCAAGAAGTCACAAATTTTCATGAGGGTTTCACGCGGGTTTTCCATCAAATCCATACCGTGCACGTCGAGTACACGACCTGGAAAGTTCTTCTTGACTTGCGAACTTCCCTTCACTTGGGTACTGTATTCCGCTATGGCATCATCAAGCTCCTCGTGACAATCACACTGCAATTAGACAATAAACATAGACATGGGAGCACGTTATCAAGAAAACCATGACAAAAAAAAATGTATTAGCATATACAAACTAACAAACAAAGGAAGAACCCATAAAAAAAAAAAAAAAAAAGAAAAAAAGCTAAATAAAAAAGACAAACAAAAAGCATCATTATTACTCTTTTATATGCGTGAATCTCTATCTCCTTGGTAAACGACAGGTAAGTCAAGGCATTTCTTAACCTCGATGGCAAATAAAGACGCTCAAAACCTAGGGTAAGACTTTTCGCCTTCATCAGGTCGACGTCACCGCCCCATCCACCAAGATTTAATCCCCTCCCCCCTCTCAAAATGACTGTAACACCATGGCATATTGTGAGGTAGATATATATGTATCCAACCACCCACTAACCTCAAGGTTGTCTTGGACTTCGTTTTTCTTGAGTTTCGCCTTGCGAAGCGCTAAAGTTGCAATGTTATCGAAAGGATTACGCACAACGTGAATGAATTTAAGCTTTGTGCCAAGTTTGCGCTCTAAATCTCGAAGATGCTCTCTTCCTTCACTTTGGAGCAAAATTTTTGAAGCCTGAGCTGCTTTCTTATCTCCTATCACCTGCAAGAAAAGAACTAGATATTAAACAATTATCAGGTAAGGTTGAGTTATCAAACCGAAGTCTGAGATAAAACAGGCACGAGGTATGATAATTCATGATACCATGCAAAATCCGAATTAGAGAATTGTTTTATCATTCATAAATTTTTTTAATAGGGAGCCATTTCTCTCTGACTTTGGAAAAGTTTGGCTTACGAGCGGCTCGTAAACCAAGCAGACTTAGAAATGATACATGCAATATCTGCTGCAGGTATTGGGTCATCATGTCAACTTTACACGTACATTGATTGAAAGCCATTCAGATTTTTCCTAATTAGTCTAATTTGTATTAATACAAATTGACGCCGTTATTATAACCAGCTGGTCATAATTTTCCGTGTTTCGTTTGGCTAGTAGACCAACGTCATGTCTTCGGTAAAAAAAAAAGGGTTCTGCGCTTTCCTGCAGTTTGAAAAGACAAATTTAACCTCTTGCTTATCAAATCTATCTGTCTCTGTGCGCAAAACACAAACTATAACTGCTTTCTATGACTTAACATGACTTGACCATCATGCTGCCATGCCTTGAGTTAGTTTATATTAACTATTGATCACATGACGAGTTTTACCGGCTCAGTAAGAAGCGTAAGTCCAGTGATCTTTGCCTCTTGTTAAACAGTTCCGAGAGATGGAGTGCTTGCAACTTGAATAATAACGTCGTATTATGGTGATCAGTTGAGTAATAAACCACCATTTGGTTTGTCGCTGCAATTTTCTTGAAGCAGAAAAAAATGCTAACTTTTCCTTCTCGACGAGTAGATTGGTAATTTCTGAAGGTGTCTCTTTTTTCGCGCAGCGAAAAATTAAGGCTTAAAAGGAAGCAATCAGTTAGTTGGACAATATTTTAAAAAGAGATTTGAAACGTTTGAAATGTGAAATGTTTGCTTAAGTGGAGAAGCTGTTAAGCAATCAATGATCGGCGCCCATAGTAAGAACAAAGAACTTACGAGTACACTCAGACAGCTTGATATAGACACCTTTTTCCGACTGTAACGACCAAAAGTTATTTTCATAGAAATAGAGAATACTTTGATGACTCAGTTTAAAAGAAAAACAGATCTTCGTCAGTTTAGATGCAAATACTTAACCTTCACTGTCATTTTTTTCCAGGCTGGAGAACACTTTGATGATTCAGTTTAAAAGAATTAAACCTTTGTCAGTTTAGAAGCAAATTTTTGTTAACTTAAGTTTCAACCGAGTTATTACACTTCATTTATCAAGTATTAGATTATACACATTGAATGTTTGTCCAGTAAAAAGTTTTTTTATGAGGATAAACTGCTAAGCAATGGATGATAGGAACACAACAGACTGAATCACAGACTGACTGGGCCTTTATATTTTAAACGATTTTTCCCGATTTGAGTACCAATCTCTAAGAACTTACGAGTATGTGTATACAGCTTGATACAAAATATTTTGTTATATACCTAGACTATCGCTCAACAAAACGAGCACTGTAATTTGTTGATTTTTGGTCACGTGCCTCTGATGAAATTCAAGTGTATCCCGACCGAATACAAGTGCGCAGTTGTTGCCCGCGCGCCGAAGGCAACAGCATGTTTTTGCCATATGACTCAGGGCCGTAGCTAGCATGAGGCAAGACCATTTTGGCCCAAGATTGACTTCCTGAAGAAAAATGCCACGGAAAGTGCTTAAAAGAGCATTTCAGAGCCTCTAGATTTCAAAATATTCTGGGGGGGCATGCCCTCATACCCTCCTATCTGCGCTTGAAACTTGCCTCGTCTTGTTCTTAAGTTTGGCTACGGCCCTGTGTCTGTTAAAGGATAGGTCTAACAACAAAGCACTCAATGCATCTTTAACTCTTGCGTAAAAAGAAGTTAATTTAAAGCCTCTTCTTTACGGACAAGTTCCACGTTCCGTAAAGATGCGTAAATGCAGAAAAGAGGATGGATAGTACCATGGGGATTTAGTTTATAGATATGTTAGGTCGTGAATAAGCTGCTTGTTGCTCTTAAAACCTAAATAAACTAAATAAAAATGAAAAAAAACACCGGCCTAGTACCAGAAAGGCGTGAAAAGACCTAACCAATGTAAATTGAAACAAATATCATTGGAGTAGACCAGGGATCCTAGAGTCTTGTCCGAAAATAACATACATTTATCAAGGCAAGATGATTAGCCCCTGTAATGAACTGCAAAAAACTGATTGAACTTCAAAATCTCCAGTTCAAGAGAGATGAACAATTATATACGAGTTAAAGCAAAAGTTTGTTATGAGTTAGTGACCGAACAATTTTTCCAAAACCGCAAATAAATGATTTGCAAGACAGTGACTACAATTCGGATGTCGTCAGAAGAGACACTCTTCATCTATCTTGTCTTTCATTGATGGGAATTCTGGTAATGGCTTTATATTTATAATCGAAGTTGTCACAATTTACATATGCAGAACATCGTTGGGAGCCAAACTCGGGTAAACCGGATCGCGCATGAACAGATCATTACATACAAACAGCAATTTGCAGGTCACCCAGTGAGCTGTAGACCAATGAAAATTTTCTGGAAGCAAAAAATTGCCTACATTAAGTAGTTTGGATAATTCTAATCGAGAATTTCTGACAATCTGTCTCTTTTTTTACGCAGGAGAACAATCAGTTAGTGGAACCGAATATTGAATAAGAGGTTTGATAATGATAAAAAATATATATATAGTTTTAGTTGGCGTTCAAAGCGTCCTCCTCGTTTCCTCCAAATCAAAGGCCTTCACCAAATTAAAATCTGGAAATTTTCCCCTTGTTTTACCAGACGGGAAGATGTTACAGTTTTCTATGGATATACAGGTAAATATCCAGCGATTTTTGACCAATTAAAGCGCACGTTGTGTCCAAGTTATGTCTTAAATGTAAATGAAAACTGTACCTGTACACCCTCATTGATCTGTCCTTGCCACTGACCCTCCACGTTGTAATGATACTGTACTGGGCCTCCGTTTACCAACCGAGAGCGAACACCATACATCACATCATAGCGTGATTTGGCGTAAATCAGCTCATAAATAAAATACTTTTTCCTGTCAAATATTTCAGGCATGGTAATCCACTGCTTTAAGATGTTAAAGTCATTGGCAACAACGACATGTGGATGAGCATCTAACAAAGAAGCAAGTAAGGTGTGCCTGCTTCTGTTGTATCCAATGAACAACAAAAAAATCCTGACTTTGTCGTAAATTCTGGCATCAAGTGTTGGTGGATTTGAACGGTGTAGCTCTTTAAAAAAAAGGGTTAATCATAATAATGATAGTAATGGTGAATTAATGAAGGAGTTCTGTGAAACGTTACCAGGCTTTGTCAAAATTTATATCTAGAGAAATCAAGGGTAAATGTAGCTCTGACTGAAAGTCTCAGATGTGTTTTTATCAGCTGGTCACAGGTCTTCCTTTCCAAAAGGAAGGCTGCTTTAATCCTATTTTAGTTTCGTTAATATGCTTATTATAATGTAGTTGCCTTCTCGATAAAATATTGCTATAAACATGAAATATGTCACTTGTTGTGAAGAAACGAAAGGCAAGAGAGGTAGAAATGTTTTTAAAATAATTTGATATGAGAACTTCGAGGAAATGAAAGTCAAATAAGGAGAAGTTCATCGATTCAATTACCGTCGTATCCATCAAAACGGGTCATCGTGTTCCAAAGAAGTGCATAGATGGCAATACCAATGATTAAAATTGCGACTTTTAAAAATTGGTGAGCCATTCCGGATTTTGTATCCTAAAGTGAAAAAGTAAGACGTGCACACACCATAAGCAACTCTCAAGATGATTTGAAAAGTTCCTCTTTGTTATTCATAGATAGTCATCAATGCGGGAAACTCATGCCGACCGCGTTCAAATCTATTTGATTGGCTTGTAATTTAATTTGCTTGGCAATAAATAATATTGTGCTATAGAGGAGTTTAAAGGACTATGATCTTAAATTTAAGAAATAGAGGAAAAAAATTACATACCTTGAAACCGGTTTTCACGTGAACGTGCCGTTTAAAAAAACAAAACAAAATAACGACAGCTCACAACGGAACTTTGTTAGGCAATGAAAAAAACAATGAAAATGCTACGTGTACTTAATTTAAAATTTGTTTCCTTTAATATGTTAATACTATCTCTTAAACATTTGACAACTTTAAGATTAAATGGTAGCCCTACGGGAGGTGCGATGGATAAAGGAATATTTGTCAAGTTTAAAGAAAAACTACGCTACGCATTTTTTTCAATAGCGACGAATACCCTGGCAGCCAATGTATATTACCATAAATGGATCATTTGCTACCTTGACATGAAAGTAAAATTCTAGATATTATATTTTCGATCGACTGATGGCTGCTAGTAAGTGAATGAAAACCTATTGAAATGGTTAATATTGTGTATAAAGATATATGTCAACAAACTTTATCTCAACATTACAGCACCCTTCTCTTTCAAAAAAGTTTCTATTGCATTGAAGCCATTGTTAATCTTCATTTTATCTGCTTTTCTTTGCTTTTGTAGGTAGGTGATGAATCTAACGGATTTCTACAAGAATGAAATCTTTTCGTGTTTACGTTGTAATTGCCTCGCTGCTTCTACTCGTAACAGCTTTGTTATTCTGTACCAATCTGCATCCTCGTCCATCCATCGATGTTCTTTCTAACGTCATTCCTCAGCCTAATGGTGAGTAAACTCTTTTGTTAACTATTACAAGTTGTAGGGAGGTTTCTTGACTAGATTCTGCAGCATTGCTGTTCATCCTTAGCTTTTTTTTTTTTTTTAAATATATTTGTAAAATCAAAATCTATTTAACTATTGGTATCCAATGATTTCAGAGAATCTAAAGATAAAGCTCAACTCCAAAGCAAAGCCTGCAAGAAACACTTTCATTTAAAGCAAACATTAAAACTATTCCGAAAACACTCCATGACATGGCCTAGTTTTAAGCTTTATGTGAGAGCGAGATTGACACAAGTTGAATCTTTAAATCACTCCATTCTCCCCAAGAGGTTGTGGAAGCCTTAGTTCATGAATAGTCTTGGGTTTTTACACGAAGGACGACTGCACAGGCTCGAAAAGTTATATAAATGTGAAAAGACCTTGATTTGATTGTACTTAAATGAAATTCATTTACGTTGAATGTGCTTTGTCATGTTGTTCGCGTTTTTATAACAGATTCCCAACCTCCAAATGAAGAATATCTCTGTTATTGATTTTCACGGTATTTTGTCTATGAATACAATTTTATCTTGTATTTTGTGCGAAGTTATTTGAAAACTCAGCTCTTCGAATTTTTAATTATCTATCTATCTCTTTGAAAACTACTTACCTTTGCCATAAGAGTACTTCTACTCAATTTACATGCTTCTATTTGATTGAATTAACTCCTTAAATCCATTTAAAATTTCACTAGGACAATTCTCTGGTGGACATCTAGAGCTGCGGCTCAACAAGTTATACGATGGTGTCGAAACTCTTGTTTTATTCATCGGCCACGCTCGTAGTGGTCATAGTCTCATCGGAGCCATTTTGGATGCTCACCCAGAGATTATCATTCCTCACGAATATAATTTGATAGTAAAGTGGAGTGAATTCAAACTGAAAAGCGGCAGTGGGCTAAAGACCCGTGTCCTTTTTGCCCTGCACGCCTTGTCACGATTTCAAGCAATGTTTGGAAACCGTGCAGCATCACGCCGTAGCGGTGGTGGGTATAGTTACTCTGTACCTGGACAGTGGCAGGGAACGTATAAAGAAAGAGTAAAGGTATAGATTGGGGTTAGTTATAATAGGTGTATTAGTAAATGCGAGAGGGGTGGAGAAGGGGGAGGGGGGGCATTGGGTATTCCATCGAGTCCAGATGATCATAGAAGAAGAATTTCACTGAATAGAATTGATTTAAAGCTACGTTTAGAATAATTGTTCGAACTTGAAGCATAGAAAAACAAAGTTCCCTCGTAAACATCCTTATTTCAGGTGATTGAAGAACTGAAATACCATCAGTAAACTGGGTTTAAGGAATGAATTCTAAGCGGATACTACGCATCCAAACGTGTATCATGATTATGTTTTACTTTTTCAGCACCTAACTTTACGTTTGTCAATGTAGAATGCATGCAATACTTAAATATTTCGACTTGCACCACTTCACTGTTCCAAATTTGTAACGTTGTTAACTGCAGCAACTATTCATTTTTCAGCTAAAAAGATCATATTCAGGAAAATACACCCATTTATGCGTGACTTTTCAACCTTTTTTTATTGCAAGGTCATTGGAGACAAAAAGGGAACAGCAACAAGCCATTTGTTAGAAAATCCAAAAAATTTTGATATTTTGGAGGATATAAGCAGAACTCTTACCCTAAAACTTAAATTCATTCACGTTATCAGAAACCCGTTTGACAATATTGCCACTAAATTGCTGAGAAATCTCGAGGTCAGGGACATGGCTAAAAGCAGCACATTTAAAGTAAGTTTCTTGTAACTTTCGAAAAACTCATAGTTAACTAGTTTTGTCCGGTAGTCTTAGATCCCATTCACACCAAAACTTAAACGTATATTAAAGCTGTTTAGTTGAAGTCTGTTATATTTTTTTCTTATTCGTATAGGCTGCATAAAGCGACGTTTGTTGACTTCAAAGTGACACATTGAAAATACAAGTAAACGATTATTTGAATTTTATGGAACATTCTGTGAAGCTAAACTTTTTTCGCTGGGGTGAATGTGATTTAGACTTCTTGTATCTTCTTTCTAAAAATTATTGCACCTTCGAAGGGGTGAGACTATCTGTCATTTACAGTTTACATGTATTTCAAGACCTTTAACCTTTCCTCTTTTGAAAATTACGGGAAATATGGCAATTTTATCAGTGCAACTGTAATTAAGTAGTATTAAAATTTGTTTTGAAAAAATGTCTTGCTTGTTTTGTTTCGCAGGCAAGCAATGTAACCTTGTTGGATAAAATTATCGACGACTTTTTTGCCAAAGTAAAGTCCGCTGAGAGACTGAAACGATATGGGAAGTTCGAAGTACTAGATGTCTACGGTCATGAAGTTATTTCCAAACCCCGTGAAAGTCTGCAAAACCTATGCAACTTTCTAAAAGTAGCCTGTTATCCAGACTTTGTCGAATCTGCCTCAGAACTACTGTACGCTAAGCCGTCGTTGACGAGACATGCGGTCGCGTGGACTTCAAAACAGAAGGAAAGAATTATGAACGAGATGAACAAGTACTCTTTTCTGGAGCGTTTTTCTTTTGATAGTGATTCTAAATAATTATAAATTTTCTTTTAATGGATGAGTGTTGATGAAGCTTAAAGCGTTCATACTCTGTATAGAAGAGAACAGTACTCTTTGCAAAAAATTTCATCTTGGACTCAAACGAGCAACATCAGACCGTGTTTGAGATAAGCATCAAAGTCTTCTGGTGACACTAATTAAAAAGCTTTATTTCTGGATTTCCTTCATGACTTTCTCTTTGTGTTCGTTATTCCATTCTATCAAATGCGTAGTCCGAGATGATTTGGAATAGAGATCTCTTGTTGCTAATTCGACAAAATCACTGTAACAAGAAACACCAACAAAGTCACATACCAGCTGTTTACATTGAGAATCTGATAGTGTCTAATTTTACGAAGATATGGAACTGCCTGTGCTTTGATGAAATATTTTTCGATGCAGAAGTCGAGGTTGGTTGCATTCCCTGCCCTATAAGAAAATCATAAGGTTTTAGATTGTGATTCAATGACAACTAATTATTATTTTATCAAAACAGTTTATGTGAATATATGTAAACAAACAGTAAATCACAAATATTCTTACAGAACTAATGGTAATAATAAAACAAAGGAAAAAATGGACGATATATAGTGGATATTGCACAAGGACAAGAAGTTATGAATTCCATGTACTAGTGGCAAGAACAATATCGCGGCCATTATCCCGGATGTAGCGATCGTATTGATTCTGCGAGTGTTTCAGTTCCTGGTAAAACACTCCAGTCCATATAGCAAAATCAAATATTATCATGAAAAATAAAAGGTTTACTTTGATAAGAACCAGTGAGAAATAATGGAAAACAAACTTCTATATTTGCTTACTATTTGAAGACTTCCAGGATTCACACCGTTATCAAATGGATTTCTGATGACGTTAATCAATGCAATTTCAACAGTAATGGTCAACAGTAATGGTCACATACAGGTGTATAATGAAAGGCAAAGTAACCAGAAAAATATAATAGTTAGCAAAACAAAAACTACTGTGGCTTTTCTATATTTTTGTTAATACAGGAGCGAAAGACCTTGAGTAAATCGAAAATGGATATCATGAAAAGTTTATGCTTAGACATGTTCCAAACAAACTCAAAAATGTTCAAAAAATGATTGGTCATCACCAGCCCGATTTTAGCACTAATAGGACAGTGTACGCAAAATGCTTGTAATTGGAAAGTGTAAAAAGAGAGAGAAACGTCATGCCTTTGTATATGAACAGTGCGCATCGTGTGCTCGTGCTGTTGCTGTTTTTTTCATGAAAACGTATAACACATTCTAGTTTCGTTCTGAAATTTTGTCATAGTTTTGAACAATTGGTAGCCGGACTACAAGTCGTCCAATTCTGTCGGTAATCATATTCGTAATTAAAAAAATCCCACGGCACGGTTGTTCAATTTTTTTCATTACTCGTGTTACATGGTTTTCTGGGGGAACGGAGGGGGATCTGTTGTCGCCAGGAAAGCTTAAAGGGGTACTGAAGGAAATTGACTGCCAATTAGAAAATTAGTTGGATTCCTTTGGATGCATTGATAACCTTTCTGTTATGAGTATGCGAGTATCGATTTCTATTTTGATTTTTCTGAATAGCCGCTGGTCAGTAAGCAGACTGTTTCATCCTTGTTGGAGATTTATAAGACTTAACTTACTTGCTAATAAAGACCAGAATAAAGAAAACCCCTGAGAAATTGAAGTCTGGACTTCCTAATCCGGTTCTTTTCAGAACATGGGCCCTTTCAAATATCTCGTACCTTAAGTTTACTTTTGCAATCGCCTTGCCAGCCTCCTTTAATGTTGTAGCAGTAGGATACGGAGCTGTCGCAAATTGACGAACGACTTCCAAACATGGCCTGTCGGCGCGAGCGAGTATGTAAGTCATAGAATATCCTCAGCTTGCGCTCATCGTCTGTTTGGCTAGGATCCATAAAGAAACTGTCAAACTGATAAAGCAGATTAAACTCAATAATTATTTCTGGATGGGAACCTAAAATGGCAGCCACCAATCTATGACCGCTTCTTGAATGTCCAGCGAAGAGCACAAAAGTTTCAACATTGCGATATAAAAATGTCAGTTCACGGTCCAGTTCTCCTTGAAAGAAGAAGAAGAAGAAAATGCGATTCAGTTACTTAATTAAGACAAAGAGAGTGTCCTGAAAAAAAATAAATTAAAAAAAAAAAAAAACCGATTAATTCACGGAAGTACCTAAGATTAAGGGAGTGTACTATCAAAATGGTTTGTCCTACTGTATGAACTAAGACACATGAAATTTTTCTCCTACGCTTTTTTTGAAATTCGCACCTTGATTGTGATTACGGGTCTTTAGCTCAAACTTGGGTAAAATACAAGACTAAGAGCCACACAAAAGAATTGCCATCCCCAAGCCAATACAAACGGGGCCAAATTTGAGCCTTTTTCACCCAAAGAGGCCGCTGAAATTCGTTCGATTTGACATCAGAGATAATTGTGTAGACAGGCACAAATCAATGCTTCTTCGGTGGCATGGTTGCTTAAGTTAAGAAGCTGCTAAGCAATCTATGATCGGCGCACACCGCTGGGAAATGACCAACACTGACTGTGCCTTTGTATTTTGAAACAACTAATTATGACTATTCAGTTTGAGTTGTAATCTCTAAGAACTTACGAGTATATGCAGACAGCTTGACAATGACAATAACAACGGAAAGTTTTTTTCCATAGGGATACTCAACTTTCGAATCGACAAATTTTTAGAAACGGACTTTAGATCAACAATCGGCAATCACCAAAAGGACGAACATGGAAAGGGTTCTTAGACCATCCAGAGAAATTTCAAGATTTTGAAGAAATGTCAGAGTAAACTAGATTGTTTTTTATGCGCGTACTCAGACTAAAACTGAACAAACAGAGTCTGTGATTCGATCCGTGCAAAAGTATTTACCCAATCGATTCACTTTATATATTGTTTCTTTCGCCTTAACGTTTTTATCATTCTTGCCGCAATATTCTCGTATTATTTCTATGTATATATTTTAGAGCTTTAGTCAGTATCTCATTACCATTTTTACAATTGATTGTATAAGCGCATGATTTTATCCTTCAATTTGAAAATGACCGTTGAGCGGTTGTAACATCATTGCCTTTTTAATGTTAATTTTTATCGTAGAATCTGTTTCTAAAAAAATGTTGATTCGAAAGTTAAGTATTCCCATGAAAAATAGATAACTTTTCGTCGTTATTGTTTATATCAAGCTGTCTGCATATACTCGTAAGTTCTTAGAGATTTCAACTCAAACTGAATAATCATAATCAATAATTTCAAAATACAAAGGCACAGTCAGTGATTGGATATTTCCCTGTGTGAGCCGGTCATCGATTGCTTAGCAACCTCTTAACGTAAGCAAGCATTTCACCGAAGAAGCATTTAACGCGTGTAGATTACGTACACGACCGGCTATAAATGAATGATCTGTACCTGTCTACACAATTATTATCCCTGATGTCAAATCGAACGAATTTCAACGGCCTCTATGGGTGGAAAAGGCTCAAATTTGGTCCCGTTTGTATTGGCTTGGGGACGGTAGTTCTTTTGTGCGGCACTTGGTCTCGTGTTTCACCCAAGTTTGAGCTAAAGACCCGTAATTACAATCTAGGTGCGAGTTAAAAAAAAGGCCTACACGGGAAGTTAAATCCTGAGTAGAAAAGCATTCACCAGAGCACAGTTAATGACGGATGAAGAAGAAGAACGATGGAAAAAACCAGGGCAAAAAAAATAGAGTATCGACAATTATGCCAAAACCGTGAATTTTTTTAGTTAAGTGAAAAACCATTTTGATAGTCCCTTCCCTTAATCTTAGGTTCTTCCGTAAATTAATCTTTTTTTTTTTTTCAGGACACTCTCTTTGTCTTCATTAAGTAATTGAATCGCCTTTTTTTCTTTTTCTTCTTTCAAGGAGAACTGGAGCGTGAGCTGACATTTTTATATCGCAATGTTGAAACTTTTATGCTTTTCGTTGGACATCCAAGAAGCGGTCACAGTTTGGTTGCTGCCATTTTAGATTCTCATCCAGAAATAGTTATTTCGGATGAGTTTAATCTGCTTTATAAGTTTGACAGTTTCTTTATGGATCCTAGCCAAACAAACGATGAGCGCAAGCTGAGGATATTCTATGACATACATACTCGTTCGCGCAGACAGGCCATGTTTGGTAGTCGTTCGTCAATTTGCAACAGCTCCGTATCCTACTGCTACAACATCAAAGGGGGCTGACAAGGTGATTGCAAAAGTAAACTTAAGGTACGAGATATTTGAAAGGGCCCATGTACTGAAAAGAACCGGATTAGGAAGTCCAAATTTCAGTCTCTCGGGGTATTCTTTATGCTGGTGTTTATGAACAAGCAAATTAAGTCTTACAAATCTCCAACAAGGATAAAACAGTCTGCATACAGCGGCTATTTAGAAAAATCGAAATAGGAATCGATGCTTGCATACTCATAACAGAAAAGTTAGCAATGCTTTCAAAAGGAGTCCAACTAATTTTCTAATTGGCAGTCAATTTCCTACGGTACCTGTTTAAGCTTTGTTGACGACAACAGATCCCCCTCCATTCCCCCAGAAATCCATGTAATACGAGTGATGAAAAAAATCGGACAACCGCGCAGTGGGATTTATTAATTACGAATATGATTACAGACAGAATTGGATGGCACGCAGTCCGGCTAACAATTACTATAAACTATGACAAAATTTGAGAACGAAACTAAACATCTGCTATACGTTTTCATCGATAAAAAATAAAAACTAGTTTACCCGGCGAATAAGTAGCAACGGTGCAAGCGCACGATGTGCACTGTCCAATTACACAGGCATGACGTTTCCACTCTCTTTTTACCTTGTCCAATTACGAGCACTTCGTGTACACTGTCCTATTAGTGCTCAAATTGGGCTGGTGATGACCAATCACTTTCGAAAATTTTGTCGCAATTTTATTTATACTTATATACCTCCTTTATTAGGGTCTTGTAGTGTTCCTTTACTTCCATTCGATTCATTTTTCCTTGGAAGTGAACGATAAATCAGCCTCGCGTGATATACGTATTGTAGTTAGCATTACTTTTATTGTCGTTTCCTGGGGGCGCTTTCTAAATTTTGTAAATGTGCATAGGTATATGATGGCTGGAACCACAAGTTTAATGGATTTAATGTGACAAAATTCATTATTTAAAAATATTGATTAATGCTAAGAAATTAGAACTTTCCTCTGGGCTCTAATTAAAGGGATACATTGCATACCGCTAAATCTTACGGGACTTATTTCCCTATTTTATGGAGCCCGAGTAAATTATTGCCCCGAGCAATGGTTGCTTATTCACAATCGCGTGAGTAAAACTGACCATAATATAAGATTCCACGTATTTTTTCCTCAGGTAATTGGAGACAAAAAAGCATCTGTAACTACTGCACGTTTGCATCACGAAAAAGGGCTTCACGATTTGCGAAAACTGGAGGAAGCGCTGGGGAATTCCAATCAAACTGATTAACGTCATCAGAAATCCATTTGATAACATTGCTACTATATGTAGAAGGAGACTAGGTGTGAATCCTAGAAGTCATCAAATGGTAAGTAAATATAGGGGTATATCATCTATCGTTTCACATTGGTTCTTATCAAAAAAAATCTTTTATTTTTCATAAAAATACCTGATTTTTTTTAATGGACTGGAGAGTTTCATCACGACCTAAAACACTGGCAGATTCAATACGATCGCTACATATCCGGGATCAGAGCCGCGTATCTTAATCGCGCGGTACAGAATGCACCTAACCTCGACTTCTGGATCGAAAATTATTTTATCAAAGAGCAGACAATTCAATATCGTCATGACCTGAGGCACTATCGGGTTCTCAATGTATACAGCCGAGATCTGAATATTTCGCTTGTGTCATGCAAAGCCTTATATTTTTTTTTTCTTGACAGGTACGCAACACAACAGCGTTGGACTTTTGCATTGATTTTTACTTCACTAAAGTGCGGACAGTTCAATATCTACGTGATCTGAGGCACTACCAGATCCTGAATGTATGCAGCCGAGATTTGCTGACAAATCCACGACGAACTTTACAAAATGTTATGTGACTTTGTTGGTGTTTCTTGTCACAGTGAATTTGTCGAATTAGCAACAAGAGATCTCTATTCCAAATCATCTCGGTCTAGGTATTTGATAGAATGGAGTAACGAACAGAAAGAAAGTCATGGAAGAAATCCAGAAATATAGCTTTTTGAAATCTTTATTTTCGTTTGACAGTGATTAGTGTCACCATTAGACTTTGACGCTTATTCATCAACTTTATCATGTTAATTTAAAACTTTCCTTGTAATTGCATACATGTTTCTGTTACTGTTGTTTGTTTTGTCCAATCAGCATTTTGTTCTACAGTTTAAATTCAACTTTGTACTTTGTAAAATCAGAACTGAAGGTGACAGAAGAACTGCCAAAACATGGTTTTAAAAAGTGTCGTTTAATTTCTTAACTCCGTAACATATCTGTTGCTGTCCAGATCATTTGCTACCTTGACAAGAAAATAAAATCCTAAGAAAAGACCTGTGCCCTTTTTGCCCTACATGCCTAATCACGATTTCAAGCGCTGTTTGGAAACTTTGCAGCATCACCCCATGCCGGTGGTGGGTATAGTTACTCTGTACCTGGACAGTGGTAGGGAACGTATAAAGAAAGAGTAAAGGTATAGAATGGAATTAGTTACAATAGGCGTATTAGCAAATGCGAATGGGGTGGAGAAGGGGGAAGGGGGGGGCATTGGATATTCTAACAAGTCCAGATGACCATTGAAAAAGATTTTCGCCGAATAGAAATGATCGTAAGCTACGTTTAGAATAATTGCTCGAACTTGAAGCATAGAAAAACAAAATTCCCTCGTAAAGATCCTTATTGCAGGTGTTTGGATTTCGGATATTCTGAGAAATGAGCCGTTGAGAACTCGATAGGGAGTCATACTTGTGGAGTCAGACAACAAATTGAGTTCACAAGCAATGAGTGTCCGGCATAGTGCATGGATCAGCAAGTCGGAACTGAAAAACTCATAGTTAGCTACCTTTGTGCGGTAGTCTTAGATCCCGTTCACACCAAAACTTAAATATGTTTTAAAGCTGTTTTGTTAAACTCTATTTTATTTTTCTCGTACTCATATAGGCTGCATAAAGTGACGTTTGTTGACTTCCAAAGTGACACATTGAAAATACAAGTTAAAGATTACTTGAAGTTTAAGGAACATTCTGTTAAGTTAGACATGTTTTGCTGGGCAGATTTCTAGATATTATAATCAACAATGACATCCATTTTCCTGTCACAAGTGTTTACAGTAAGGAAACCTTCACGGCTTTCTGACCAATCATTTTAGCTTTATACCTTATCCTTATAAACTGGGTCTCATTCGCACTCTTCTTGGTAGAGCTTACAAGATCAACAACACATGGTTGGGATTCCACGAGGATATCAAGAAAGTCACTGAAATCCTAAAAAAGAATCTTTTTCCAGCACATCTACTTGAAAGGGGTTGTCAATCGATACCTCACGCTGACCTGTAGTGAGTGCAATCTCCCGGTCTCCGTTTCGGACACTGCGCTCACCTTTTATTTCAAATTACCTTACATTGGCCCTCTTTCTAATGTCACGCAAAAAAGAGTTCGCCACCAAGCGTTATTTTAACAAAATAGACATTAAGTTGGTTTTTCATCTTTTAAAATAGGTTATATGTTTGGTGTAAAAGACTCTATCCCTCTTGGGCTCCGTACGTCTGTGGTTTACAAGTTTTTATGTGCGGGTCGTAATGCCTGCTATGTCGGCGAAACCTCCCGGCATTTATCCACACGTGTGCGTGAGCACTTGGTCAGTGATAAGACCTCTCACATTTTCAAATATTTACATAATGTCGCACTCTATGTTCTGATAAGTGTTTTAATAGCATCTTAGGTCAAGCTTCCACAACTTTCCAACTTAAAATCAAAGAAGCTATCCACATGCAATGGGGGCAACCTACACTTAATCATCAACTCTATCATGTTAATGTAAAATTTTCCTTGTAATTGCATACATTTTTCTGTTACTGTTGTTTGTTTTGTCCAATCAGCATTTTTTTATACAGTTTACATTCAACTTTGTACTTTGTAAAATCAGAACTGAAGATGACAGAAGAACTGCCGAAACATGCTTTTAAAAAAGTGTCGTTTATTTTCTTAAATTCGTAGCGAATGATCTATTTACGATAATATGTATTAGCTGCTAAGGTATCCGTTACTATTGAATAAAAATTGTGCTGTGTAGCTTTTCTTTAAACTTGAAAAATATTCCTTTCTCCATTGCACCTCCCGTAGGGGTATCATTTAATCTTAAAGTTGTAAAATGTGTAGGAGATATTTAACATTTTAAAGAAAAAAAAATTAGGTACACATAGTATTTTGTGATATATATGATATATGACTTTCATATATTCTTAACCGTCTATTCATCACTTCACGGGTTTATTTAGAACCACCATCATGACCAGCTCCCAGTTGGCTTGTTGGCTCAGTTGGTAGAGCGCTGCACCGCTATCGCAGAGGTCATGGGTTCAAATCCCGTACAGGCCTGAATTTTTTTCAAGCCTTATTTTCACTACTGCCTAAGTAGTGCACATCACTGCGAGGATCACTTTCATTCACGTCTTTATCCGCAGTTCAAATATATGACTTTCATATATTCTTAACCGTCTACATAGTATTTTCTTCGTTTTAACGCCACGGCCAACAGGATAAAGGGCTCTGCAGAGGCAGTGAAAATGAAACATACGTAAAGGTAGGTCATGATTAAATAGCATTGCCTAACAACGTTCCGTTGTGAGTTGCCGTTTTTAATTTAAAAAACGGTATGTTCACGAGAAGACTGGTTTCAAGGTATATAATGTTTTTTTCCTAATTCTTAAAGTCAACAACATAGTCCTTTTAACGCCTCTATGGCACAATATTTTCATCCAATCGCCAGGCAAAAACGAAAATATTTTCGATTGAAATTACAAGTCAATCGAATAGATTTGAACACGGTCAGCCGGAGTTTCCCGCATTGATGCCTATCTATGAATAACAAAGAGGCACTTTTCAAATCATCTTGAGGGTTGTTTATGGTGTGTGCACGTCTTACTTTTTCACTTTTAGGATACAAAATCCGGAATGTGTCACCAAGTTTTAAAAGTCGCAATGTCAATCATTAGTATTGCCATCTATGCACTTCTTTGGAACACGATGACCCATTTTGATGGATACGACGGTAATTGAATCGATGTTTGACCTTCATTTCCTCGAAGTTCACATATCAAATTAATGTTAAAAACATTTCTTCCTCTCTTGCCTTTCTTTTCTTCACAACAAGTGACATATTTCATGTTAATAGCAATATTGTATCGAGAAGGCAACTACAGTCTAATAGGCGTAGTAACAAGCTAAAAAGCAACCAAGTAGCCTTCCTTTTGGAAAGAAAGGCCTGTGACCAGCTGATAAAAATGCATTTGAGACTTGCAGCCAGAGCTATATTTACCCTTGATTTCTCTAGATATAGATTTTTTACAGAGCTAGCTAACGTTTCAGGGAGTTCCTTCCTTAATTCACTAGTGCTATCATCATTTTGATTAACCCTATTTCTTTTTTAAGAGCCACACCGTTCAAATCCATCAACACTTCATGCCAGAATTTACGAGTCAGGATTTTTTTTTGTTGTTCATTGGATACAACAGAAGTAGGGAAACCCTTCTTGCTGCTTTGTTCAATGCTCATCTACATATGTTGTTGTTGCCAAGATAGATGAAGACTGTCTTCTGACCACATCCTGATTAGCTACTGTCTCGCAGATCATTTATTTACGGTTTTGGAAAAACTGTTCGGCCACCAGCTTATAGCAGACTCGTAAGTAGTTGTTCATCACTCTTGAACTGAATATTTTGCGAATTTCAAAAGTTCAATCAGTTTTGTGCAGTTCATCACAGGGGGGCATATTATCTTGCCTTGATAAATGTACGGTGATTTTGGACAAGCCTCCAGGAGGAAGCTTTTGGAGGAGCCTCCACCAGGATCCGTGGTCTATCTCAGTGATATTTGTTTCAATTCATATTGGTCCAGGTCTTTTCACGCCTTTCTGGTACTAAACCGGTGTTTTCTTTTCTTTTTTTTTTTTTTTTTTTTTTTTTTTTTTAATTTATTATTATTTTTTAATTTATTGAGTTTATTTAGGGTTCAATGAAGAGAAACAAGCAGCTTATTCACGATCTAGCATACCAAAGGATAGCACAAAGATATTCCAGTAGGATATCATCGACAACAGACGGAACTCCCTTGAGAGATAATTGTAAAAGTAAATTTGACAGTTTTTCTTTTTTTTAACACTAAATCACCAAGGTACTATCCATCCTTAAGGAAAAATTTCATGTTAGTATTTTTACGGGAATAACTGTTTATCTTTACTGTTCAGTCTGTTGTGTTCCGATCATCTATTGCTAAGCAGTTTCTCCTCTTAAACAAACTTTTCATCGGGCAAGCATTCAATGTATATAATGAAATAGTTGATAAAAAAAAAAGCGTAATAGCTCAGTTGGAACTTGAGTCAACTAAAATTTACATCTAAATTGACAAAGATCTGTTTTCTTTTGAACTGAATCATCAAAATTTCTCAGCCTTGAGAAAAAGATAATAATGGAAGTTAAGCATTTCTATGAAAATAACTTTTGGTCGTTACAGTCGGGAGAAGGTTTCTGTATCAATCTGTCTGCAAATACTCGTAAGTTCTTAGAGATTAGTTCTTAACCGAGTTATCATATCATTTATTCCAAAATACAAAGGCACAGTCAGTGTTTGGTTAATTAGCTTGGGTGCCGATCATGGGTTGCTTAACAGCTTCTCTACTAAAGCATGCATTTCACCGAAGAAGCATTTAACGTGTGTAGATCCTGTACGCGACCGGCTATAAATGATTGATTTGTGCCTGTCTGTCAAATCCCTGATGTCAAATCGAACAAAATTCTCCGGTCTCTTTGGGTGGACATGCCTCAAATTTGGTCCCGTTTTTATTGGTTTGGCGAAGGTTATTCTTTTGTACGGCACTTGGTCTCCTATATCGCTCAAGTTTGAGCTAAAGAACCCTAGTCATAATCTAGGTGCGAATTTTAAAAAAAAATTCTTAATCTTATTTACTTCCTTGAATTAATCGTTTTTTCAGGACACTCTCTTTTTCTACATTTAGTGACTGAATCGCCTTTTTTTCCTTTTTTCTTTAAAGGACAACTGGATCGTGAGCTGACATTTTTGTATCACAATGTTGAAACTTTTCTCCTTTTCGTTGGACATCCAAGAAGCGGTCATAGTTTGGTGGCTGCCATTTTAGATTCCCATTCAGAAATCATTGTTTCGGATGAGTTTAATCTGCTTTATG